GACATAGCTGTTACAGTGAAAATTATATCACCAAACCAGTGCAAAACAGGGAATGGGTTTTGTTTGGAGTGGACAGAATGGTGGGACAGGAAGCTGGTTTTAAGGAATGGCTATCTGCTAGCAATTGCCTTAAGTTCAGTATTTGACACAACTCAGTTGAGAATAAAGAACAGAAGGCAAAGGAGAAAAGCAAAGACAATGAAGGAGCTAGATTCAGTAAAAAAAAAAGAGAAACGAAAAAAAACCGCTCATACTCCCTCAATTTCCTGTTTTCACTAAAAACATGGATTGTTTCCTTCTGTGTCATACTGGTGACAGATTGTGCAAAATGTATGTGGAGAGCTGGCTGGAACATAGCTCACAGCCTGCCAAGGACCAAATGTGTAACAATTTCAAAATGACAGCAACACAGCTATTAAATATTTGATTAGGAAATCTTTTAAGTCATAGATTTTAAACCTTCTTTTAAAGCAGGGGAAGTATTTTAGATTAATTTTACTCATAGAGAAGCATAAACAGATAAAAAATTTGTTTATCCAAGGAGTTACAGGTTGTTACAGGCCAGAACTTAGAACAGAACTCTCTTTTATGAAGTATTCAATGCTTGTGATTAAACTGTCTGCAAATTATGTTTTTTTTTCTTTGTAACACAGTTGTGTAATTTCTTCATTTCAGTCTTGGAAGGAACGTAAAGTCCTTCATAGGAGAGTGTTTGGTAACCTAATAAAATCTTCCTCATCAGTGCTGTTTGATCTGCACTGCCATGTTAGTGCTTACTTTCTCAGCTTGTTTCTAAGATGGCATTCACATCAGGTTGTAGAAAATACATCCTCTGAATGCAGGAGGAACTGGAGTGGGTTATGTTCTACAAATTCCTGCTGTTTTCATTGGGCTCGGCTACCTAATTAAAGCTGAAGTCAACTTCCCGGTGTTGAGATTCAGGATGAAATCCGCCACATGCAAGGATGATGAGCCTACGCAGCATGGAAAATTAAAGACAAAACAGTCAAAGCCACTGAAAGAAAGGCAAGGCCACCCAGCAATGCTTATGAAAGGCACACTCTCAGTTACTATGTATGAGCTGCGTAGTGTTAGAACATAATCACTAGCATACATTTCTGACTGGGGGAACCAGTTCCCATTATGCTTTTGTCAGCTCAGAGAATGAGAAAGATGTGATGTGAGCATTGGTCTGGGTGGTGGAAGTCATGAATTCTAATCCTGGTAATGACGAAAGATCACTGTGTGGGCAAGCCACTTAACCCCCCTTTGGTTCTCTTGTTTTAAAAGTGAAATGAGTGTTTCCCACTCAGGAATGTGGAAAAAGATTAATTAATGTTTGAAAAGCCAGTTTTGTAGTGGGAAGAGTTATTTAAGAGCTAAGTGTTCATTAATGATCACCCTTTTATAGAAACCGCTTCTTAGAGTGGTGATATGGTAGGTTAATAAAATGTGCTCTATCTGAAAAATAAGAGGTAAAGAATTTGCGAAGATTCCAATCTGTTGGAGAAACCATGAGGCTCAGACTTAGCTTTTATTTTAGGTTTCAAACTATCACCGAAGCCAATGACTCCTTTACCTGACTAATATCATGATAACCTTTTTCCCCTACAGAAGTCTAATCTGTCTGGGGAATAGGAAATCCCTGTAGTTTTGACTCATGTTTTAGAATCTTTCCATGACAGAACATGAATTTGAAAGGAGAAAAAGTCTAGACATCCAGAAAAAAGGGCTGCTGGAAGCTGCAAATCTTTGGTCCTACAAAGGATCTTCTGAAACTGTGTAAACAGAACTCCTTTGCCTCAGTGTTGGTTATAAATTCCTCCAAATTCCTTTTTAGCTAGGAACGTCTCAGCTTTCTGCTACACTTGAAAGCTATCTCAAAGAATATTGCCAGTGAGAAAGGCCCAGCTGCAGAATTACTACAGCCTATTATTACAACCTTATATTGATTCTTGCTGATTTTTGCTGTTGGGTTTATATATATATATATATATATATATGTTTTATTTTATTATTATTATTTTTTTTGCTTGAGAAGGGAAAATCTGAAAACCCATCTGATTTCCTATACTATCCTATACCGTCTTAAGCTCTTGACTGAAATCCTTATAGGATCATGTTGGGAATGGAGATAAGACCACAGCCTTGGGAGTTTCTTCAGGGAATGCAAGTTTCCTTCTGTGCGTTGAGGAAGAAAGCTGTATGAGACCTTTATTAAAGGATGCTTTGCTTTTGCAAGATAACACCTTATCTTGCTAGAATCATTGGGGTTAGAATCGTAGCTATGTTTTCATGTAGGCCTAAATGGAATGAAGCTTGGTAGAATTTTTAGAAATATTTAAATATTTTTTATTCAAAATTAAAAAAAAAAAAAAAAAGCCAAAATTGAAAATAGGATACTGGACTGGGTTTTAGATATCTGTTTTTACAGCTAGATTAGTAGTAATGCAGGATCAAGCAGAGTAAGAACAAGGTATAACTGGATCGTTTATATCACATAGCTATTGATTCCAGGTGCCTCTCCTTTGTTAGTACAGTACTGATCATCTGTCTGTGCTCTGAGTAGAAGTTAAACAGGGAAGGTTTTGAGCAGTACTAGTAATTCATAGCAAAAATATGATTTTTAACTTCTATCTTCAAACACACAAATAAGGTGGTTAGAGCAGGATACTTAGTGAAATGCTTCAATAATCTGCTAGGAATGTTAATCTCTCTCTCCATTCTAATAAATGCTATTACAGTTGCTTAATTAGATGGAGCTATCCTTCTGTAATAATTTAAACAGTGAGAATTTTGTAGCTGTCTTTGGTTTGATGGTGACTTCTGAGTTACACTTTTCCAAATATTCGAAAAGTGGAGGCTAAGTTGCACAGAACTGTGGGCTTCTGGTTGTTTTACTCCTTGTCAGTAGCTGTTTCCCTGCTTGTCCTTTATTCTGTAAGCCTTCGGATGAGCAGTAGGTAATTCTGCTCTCCAGAATGGAGTAGAAAAATACTGAGGGACATGGTTTAGTGGGAAATTTTAGTGCTAGGTAGACGGTTGGACATGGATGTTGTTACAGGTCTTTTCCAACTTTGGTGATTCTATGATTCTGTGACTGCTACTAGAAGAAGGGAGACCAAACTTGTGTTTTGACGACAGCATGCACTGAATACCAATCCAGTTGTTCAAAAAATCAATTGTTCAAAAATTGTTCAAAAAACAGTTAGGTTTGCAGCACAGATGAGGGTAGATGCTTGAAAGAATGTATGAACATATGCATCTGGGCATTTTAATCCTTCCCAGTTTCTCTTCTGCAGGAAATTTCATTTCTAAATCAAGGGAATTCAAAGACTTAAAACCCCTCTGCTCAGGATGCGTTGCATTTGGAAAAAAAACCTCTTTCTGTTGGAATAACTACATGATCACCATCTTGCAGAATGGAGAAAACTGGAATAAAAGTATCTAATCTTTCAGTTCAGTCATTTTATTCATATCATGGGGTTGTATCACATGTTTATAATAAAGCAAAGTATTTTCCCTAAGGAAACAATAATAACAACAAGTTAGAAAAGACAGAGAATTAAATCTGTTATGGTAGGCTTTGATTTACAAATTTCTATCCTTTGTTCTACACTGTGGAACATCAACTGGCTTTTTGTGAGCAGCAGCAGAAAAGTAAAATAATGGAGGTTTTACTTAGGTGTGAATTATTGCAGTGAGTCTTTTTATGATTTTTTTCTTGTTTGTTTGCTTCTTTTTAGAGTTTAATGACATTGATGTAATTACTCAGTTGTCTATGGAATGGGATGTACCTGTATGCATTGCAGGATTCATTTCAGGTATCAAGTTGAGTGACAATTTTAGGACTGGATGGTGACTTCCCTTGGAGATCTTTTGAAGAGGCGTAACATAAAGACAGAGAATTAGAGGTTGAGTTCTGTTTTATCTTCTGGCACACCTTCCTAGCATGCTACGTGGGCAGAGTACTGGACACAGCACTTATTCCTGAGTGAAATCCTTCAGACTGCTGAAGCTGTACAGTGACTGAATACGTAACTAGCAGGAAAAATCTGCAGGAAGGCCACTAAGCTTCTGCCTTTGTTTACTAGTCTTCTGAAGTGGCAATATGAAATACAATTTGATAGATAAAATATCTGCATAAAAGAAAATGGACATTCAGAGAATGCTTTGAAGATAAAAAGAGAGAACTTTTAGAAACGGTAACACAAATTAAAATCTTTACAGAAGCTCGATTTGTATATAACGAATTTTATGATGAAGTTTGCCCTTGCATTGAGCTTATACACTCTGTAGACCTTTCATCAGCCTGAATTGTTTATTCTTGTTCTTAATGCCTGTTGACTTAGTCTTAAAACAAACAAAAATTCAGAAGCAGGATTCCACGTCACATTTTATGCTATTCATTAGGATTCTGAATGTGAAGTTAACCTGGATGGGGAAGAATCACTACTATTCTTCAAGGAAGAAACTGTGGAGGACTTCCATCTCCTTGTCTTGACTGGGAATTATGAACAAAGCTATTTATTGTTTTTTAAAATAAAGCCTTTTGTAATTTTGTTTTCTTTTCCTAGGGATCAATAATCAAGAAAATAATGTCCTTTCTTCTTGGTCCAGTTCCCCTTGCTGTGCATTGTTTAGCATCAACATCAGAGCTGGGGCATTTCATTTAATTTTATGTGCAATCTTGTTAGCAATCTCAGTAGAGAGGATTAGGACTGTATGAGCTGCAGAGACTGGATGTTCATTTGTTTAGGCCAGCAGGCAGGGTTGCTGGCAGCATGGGAGGTGTGCTTATCTGGGGATGCGGGGCAGCTGAGCTGGTGTCTGTCACCTTTTACTGACACCCACTGGGAGTATTTCAGGCAGGAACATGGAATGTGTGATGCTACTGCCAGGGGAGGAGGGGGTGCTGTTTGAAGAATGCTGTCACTGTTTCAGGTTGTCCTGATGTTTCCATTCTCTCTTCTCCTCCCTCCTGTTGCCTTTCCTCCAAGTCTGTGGCAAGCGTTACAAGAACAGGCCTGGACTGAGTTACCACTATGCTCATACTCATCTTGCCAGTGAAGAGGGTGATGAAGCCCGGGAGCAGGAGACCCGCTCTTCTCCTGTCCACAGAAATGAAAACCACAAACGTGAGTAGTATTTTCCCTTTACCTTTGAGATCCTTTTTGGAGATGTTGCCTTCAGCTGTTCTTTGCTTTGTGGAGGCTGGCTTGATTGCCTGGCTCCGTTGTGAGTGATTGGTACCTGGATGCTTGGAGCTAATCAGCCGCAGCTCACACCAGTGCTGGCTCAGCTAGTCAGGAATTCATTTCAAACCCACCATTATCTCTGCAGCAAGTCACTTTTCCATTACTGCTCCTGTGGGGAGGAGGTGTCAGGGAGGGGGGCGGGGGGGGCAGGGGGAAGAAGAGCTGCCCAACCCACCCTTTGTCAAGCAACCTCCCAGTGGCTGTTAGTAGGGATGTCAAGGAAATGCACATTCCATTTCAGAGGGCTGTCATTGTTTTGCCTTTGAGCAAGACACCTTTATCCCTGCCTTGGATTTTTTATATGAAATTCACAGCTTCTGTTCTCCTTATCCCTGCATTGCTTCCTCAGAAGCCTCACACTCAACTTTACCAAAAGATGCTTCTTAGTTACAGTTCTGGAAAATCTATGAAAAAATACCAGTTCTCCTCTGCAAGGAGTGCTAGAATGTGAGATGAGTCACATGCCTAGATTTCTGACACCAGTGCAAGGCTGAAAGAAAACTAATGCCTGAATGGACATATTTGTCTATCCTTCCTGTGTTTCTTAGGTACAGAACAGGAGATTGAGGAGACTATGCTATGTACTAATTTTTCATAAGATTGGCAAGTCTCTAAGCTGCTGTTTCTCAGATTTCCAGTGTGCAGTACTATGGGATAGTTACTTTTACCTTGGGATTTGTGAACTTACTTTTGTTCCCTTTTGAGACATTCTTTTAAATCACATTGTGAACTGTGTCATCTTAGTTCAGAGTAATGAACAATGCAAACAAAGCTATAAAATGCTTATGGGAAGAAATATCCAGCAAACATGTTATAATGTGTTATGAAGAAGTGGAAGACTTATGGAAGTAGGAAAACATTTTCTTTCAAGTCAGATAATTGATAATTGTCCCCAGGGATGGAGGGGAGGGGGTTTCCATCCTCCAAAGCATCTGCTGCTAGCCACTGTGTGAGCTTGAAGGGCCACTCCCATTCGACAATCTCAGTATTTCTGTCACTTTTATGCCCTGCTTTTCAGTTATTCATGTGTTTGGTAGGTTCATAGTAAAGGTAATTTTGACTCTTCCAGCTCTTGACAGACTTGAGCTAGCTGTGCACTAAGAACAGCTTAGGCAGGCTGGAGACTGTCAGTGTTCTGCCAGTAGCTTTTGTTTACTTAACATTTACATTATCTCTGAGTTTTGTAATTGTTGGCTTTTTTATTTTTTTATTTTTTAATGCCTGCAATATTTAGTTATAGCTATATACCTGAGAGGCATATCACAAGTCTCTATTGAGTTAATATTCATAATGGCTTTGCACAGATGCTCAGACAAAGAAGGGTAGTGTGTTTTACCCTTCAGCTTGTCACAGAGGTCAAGGACAGTTGCAGTCCTTATCCTTCTGGTACTTAAGAATTTGTTACAGTTAGCAGAAAGAGGAGCTAGAAAAGCTGTGGGAAGGTTAGCATCAGAGGACTTAGCCCATGGAAAGAAAGATTTGTTCTGCTGCATAGGATGGGGTAGAGTAGGAACTACTCAGGCTTGTGTTCCCCCCGAGCTTCTGTGTAATGCATGTGCGGCAGAGGCAATCTGCTAAAGCACAAATCCCAAAACAGGCAGAAGTACAAAACCAGTGGGGTAGAATCCTCTGACATCCAGATTCCCAAACAGAAAGAATCTGGTTAACAACCAGACAGGAGCCAGTGAGGTACAGGCAACAGCTATGCGAATGTAAAGATCACCCTTGGGGAAAGTCCCAGATGCTGGAAGGTAACTCTCCCAAATGGTTTAGCTGTCGCAGTCGCTGTTTGTTCCTTTTTGCCTGTTTATTTGTTTGCAGCCTTGAGCTCAGATCTTGCATCTCTGCTCTTTCACTTGGTGATATTTAATTTATGCTGCCATTTATCTTCCATGTGAATGCTAATTGTCCACATTGCTAATGTGCAGTCATTAAATGGTCCCTTTGTACAGGAGGATGGTGAGGAGCCAGAGTATCAGATCTTTCCTCTCCCCTAAGAACTGCTAGGCATGTGTTATGAATTAGATTTGACAGGTTTGCAGTATTGCAGGGCTTGGGCTTCAAGAATCCTCTCTGCATGGGCTTGGGGGAAAAGGGAGGGAGGAGGGGGGGATTTTAATCCAAACAGCTAATCCGCAACCTACTGAACAGGAGGACCAGAGATATGGTATAGAGCAGGATCTGGTTATTTGCTTAGCAGTGTGTCAGAGAGATAGGAGCAGCCTGATTTAGCAATGGCAAGGCAAATTGAAACCAGCCATTTGGAATTTGTCACACTGTGGGAGGTGAGCATTGGGTCAGTGAAGTTCAGGCAGGCAGGCATTTGCAGCGTGAACTTCCTTTGTACCTAAGTGTCTGCAGTAGCTTCTACAGTCTCTGCTCCTTGCAGTACCTGCAGTAATGGCAGCTTTGCTTATGCAAGAATGGTGTTTCTGGAGCTCAGCTCCTACAAGATTCAGTTACTGATGCCCTGGCTAGAGCCAGCTCAAGACCTGATGGCTTCTTGCACACCCGAACCCATTCATCTTTACTCTTCTCCTCCTGCATAGACCAATTTGGATAGTTAGGTAAATTATCCAGGGACTGGAGAGGAGATTTAGATAGGAACAACCTATCTGGAAATGAAAGCTACTGAAGAGATGTGTATTAAAGAAGAAGACTGACCCAAACCCCAAGTCTCACTTCTCTGGGATGTCTCACTGTCCTTGGGAGGTGCAGAAGGTTTATTTACAACTCAGGTGTCTTCCTTTCTGTAGATGATCCTTTGCATCAGGAAAGACAGTTCAACAGTATTCTCTTGCTTTTGCCTTTCCTAAAACACCTTGGCCTGAGCTTTGTTTGAGCTTTAGCTGCTTTGTTTGTACGTCTTATCTAGCCCTTTGGCACAGATACAGTTTTTCCTCAGTGCTTAGTCTTGCCTTCACCTATACACCCATTTATCATTGACACGCTTTCTGATTTTTGGCATGAATATGGTCTTGTGAAAAAGAGATTATAGAAAACCTTTAAAAGAGTCAACTCCCCTTTTCTTCAAGTCCACCAATAAAAAGAAATAACCCCACACCATTTTCAGCATTTTTTCTGCTGCCTTTTCCTCCACATGTTGGCACTGACAGTGTGAGATTTGTGAGCTCAGGGTGCATCCAAGACTGCTACAAAACACTTGCTGTTTTATTCCATCTGTATGGGTACAGGCCAGCTCCTGGGGGCAGCTGGTGTTCACAAATTTGGAGACACTTCTGATATAGGAATTACATTAGACTTCCATCTATTGAAATGTATATGAATGAGTGTGCTAGTATAAATGCGCTTCCTTAATTCCCAAGAGAATAGGATGGTCTGTCTACATGGAGAAAAACTGCCTCCCAGTGAAAGAAGAAGAACCTTCAGTGGCATTTTGCTGTGTGAAGCATTGGTTACAGGCAGCTGCATAGTAAACAGCAACTGAACTTATGCCCACAAGCACTTTGGCCAAAGATGATTCTAAATAAAGCCCATTGTGCTGACTGTTGCTGGCCTAACTGTCACGTGCAAGTTGAGTCTTACCTGCAGTAAGCTTAATTAACAAGAATGCAGTTCTGTGCACTCCTGTCACTCTGCAAACTTGAGCACCTAACCTGTAAAACCACCTGTTTATGTTATTTTGTGGTATTGGCCTGTTGTGCCCAGTTGCATTGCAGATTTTATGATGTGGATAAATCGCTACTGGAGAGACCAGCTAAAGTTGTTTGTGTACTCTAAGCATAATTGGATACCCAGTCTCCAGAGATAAAAAATTAATGTGCTAACCTCAGTTTGCCTTCAAGCTGTCCTCCAGCTCCCCCACGCAGTCATCTTTGAAACATTTTTATTTCCATCCAGGCAGGGGGCTGGCCATGAATAAATGACGAGAGTCAGCCCCTCGGTTGGAGATGAGCTGTTTGTTCCTCTCCACAAGCAGCATCAATTTGAAAAGCTACATCAGGCCTACTTTTTCCCTGCCTCACTGCTTATTCTCACTGGGGCCATGATAGGAGCCACATCTGAATGCAAGGGTGCATCAGTGCCCACCTTGTGACAACAGACCCTGCAGCAGCAGGTACCTTTTCAGTGAGAACATGTACATTGCCTTGATTTGACTTCTCATTAGTTTAATCTCTCTCTCTCTCTCTCTCTTTTTTTTTTTTTTTTTTTCCTAGGGCTAGTTTTAATGAAGAAAAAAAGAATACTAAAAGAAGCTGGAAATGAATAATGATTTCCACTCAAACTCTGTTTGCAGTTGTAAATTTCTTAGACTTTTAGTGCCTATGTTCTGAGATGTTAAGATAAGTGAGATGTTCTGAGATGTTAAGATCTTAAGATGTTAAGATAGAGTTTTGGAATACTGGAAGATCTCAGATTATCTACAGAGACCCATAGGGAGCCTTTGGTTGACTTGTTTAGAAGGTTTTTTTTTTTTTTTCCTTGTGTGTGTGTGTGCATGCTTATTTTTTTGTGTGTATGTGTTGTATTTTCATGTTCTCCTTGGACAGAGCCTGCATCGTTTTAGATGTTCAACACTCAGAGAATCACCAGTCAGTAATTTGTAGGAAAATATTTCCAATTTGACTAATTGAACACCATGTGTTGCTCCATGTGCCTGTTCTTGTGACAGAACAATATTATTTATGTGTTTGTGTATAAATATATATATATATTTTTTTTTTCTTGCCATCTCCATGCTTTTTTGTCCTCAGCATAGATTTCAAACCAAGCAAGTAAGACCCAAAAGATTTGATAAAATTTGAGCTTAGGTGCTCTGCCTTCTCATATTGCTCCAATTAGCAATTTCTAGAGCCAAAGCTTACAACATATTCCAGTTGTATGAATGCTGAGGGCTGCTGCTAGCCTGGGCTCCATAT